GAGCCTATGGCTGGCGGAACAGCTGACGCCACGGCTGCCAACATGCCGGTAGTGAAAGAGGTTGGAGAAGTGGATCCGAACGACGCAGACAACCTATCTACGTCGCTTGATTGCACTTCTGCCGTTATCGACTACTCACTCCTTGACTCCGTCCGCGAGCAGCACATGCAAGACGCCAAGCGCATCGAGACCCTAACAAATGAGTGCCTCGTCCTCCACGAAACAGTCGATAAGCAAGAAAAACAGCTGAGTCGATTAACGGCTGAACTCGCCGAGCGCGACGCGCAGATTAATCGCCTCCTTAAAGAGGCAGAAAACACTGTGCCATTCACAGAACTAGAGGCAATGAGGCAGCACCTCTTCAATGAATTTGGCAATTCTCAACAGGAGCGCGAGGCTACGCATCAACAACAAATTACTCACCTCCAAGATCAGCACGCAGCTGTTGCCAACGCGCTACAGCATACACAGACACTGCTTGCTAGGAATGAAGAGGAACTGCAAGAGATGCGCTTACATCTTGAAAAAGAACGGATTAGGGCCGGGACACTTGACGAAGAAAACAAACGACTCACCGAACGCGAGCACACCCTTTGGGAAGAGATTAATATGCTGAGGAATGACCTCTCTACACTTAGGGAAGAACTAAACAGGAGCGAGGAGGAGAAAAATAGAGGCCACATCACCATTGGTGATCTCATGCAGCAGCTAGACGAGCTACGGTGCGCCCCGGAGGTAGTTGAGTCAGAGTTCGAAGATACAACAAAACCAACGGAGATGGAGCGCCTTTCGCAGCAGTGCGCTGTTGCGGAGCAGGGCCGCGAGGCTGCCGAGGCCGCTTTGCGCCGGCTTGAGGGCGAGATGGAGAGGCAGCAGCAGCGCATCCGTGATTTGCAGAGTAGAGAAGAAAAAAAAAATGAGGATCAGGGTTCCGTTTCAAGTCTTATCCAATGTGAGGCGGGTGAGCGTATTGCTGAGCATGATGAATTGCTGAGGGAGAAGTTGGAGGAACAAGAGGCGTCGATGGAGGCGAAGTTCCTAGAGCAGCTGGAGGCCAACAGGGACCCGAGCACTGCAGGGGATGAATTGCTGCAGCGCGCTAATGGCTTGAGGGCGGAGAATGAGCGGCTGCGTGAGGAGCTGCGTCTGTCTGAGGAGAAGCACCAGGAGGAATTGGAGGCGCTTGCACGGGAGGCAGATGAGCGTATTGCTGAGCATGATGAATTGCTGAGGGAGAAGTTGGAGGAACAAGAGGATTACTATGAGGCGTTGCTCCTGGAGAAGCCAGTGAATGAGCGTGTAGGGACTGATGCGGGAGAATTGGGTGGGGCAGTTTACTGGAAGGAGGAGCATGACAAGCTCTACGAACGGTTTGAACAACTACAGAGAGAGCTGGAGGCGTACCTGCGTGATACGGTGCTCCATCGTAATCGTCTGTTGCAGGAGGAAGCGGACATGGATAACGAGTCGAATGGTGTTTGTGTAACGCGTGAGAGTGCGGTGGCGGAAGCTGATTCGTTGAGAGCCCAACTGGCGGAGCGAGAGCGCGCGATGGAATTGGAAAGGGCAGCGTACGCGCGGGAGGTGGATGAGTTGCGGGATCATATTCAGAAGAAGGAGAAAGCCTGTCTTGAGCTTACAGAGCTGCAGCAAGAGACCACGTCGCTCCTGCATGACGGGGCCGCGAGTGTGGAGGCGGCACTCCAAGAAAAGCGGCAACACATCGAGGCGGTGGAGGGCCATAGTCAGAGGTTGTCGCAACAACTCGCCTCAACAGAGGAGCAGCTACGGGTGACTCAGGGCGATCTACAGCAGTGTCAACAGGAGCTCGACGAGGCGCTGCAGCGCCAGTTGGGGCTTGACACTGCCCATCGTGAGACTACCGCGGAGTTGCGTGAGCTACAGCGCGTGTTCGAGGAACAGCAGCGCGCGTGGTCGCAGAAGCTTGAGCGCGCGCGCGGCGACTTGGAACAACAGCAGCGCACTGCGTCGCAGGAGATGAGCTGGGTGCGTGACGAGCACCACCGGGAGTCGGACAGGCTGCGCGGCGAGATCGATGCCCTGCGTGAGGAGCTGCAGGCCTCGCAGACGCTCGCCGCGACGCTGCCACTAGCCACCGAGGGCAATCAGCATCAGCTCGAGCACCTCCGCCAGCAGTTGGCGGAGGTCGGCAACGAGGCGGCGCGCATGCGCATGGAACTCGATGCGGCGCACCGCGAACTGGAGCACAGGGCCCGCCTGCTCCGCGCCCGGCAGCGCGGCGACAGCGATGAAGCAGCCGAGGTGGGCGACGGTCTGTCATCGGACGCGCGTATCAACTCGCTGCTGCAGCGGAGTGAGGCGCTGGAGACAAAGGTGCGGCAGCTGACCGACGACAAGGACGCTCTCCTACAGGAAAAGGACGCGCTAGAACTCGCCGTGCAGAGTGCAACCCGCACCGCGGAGGTGCGGGAGCGTGCATGCCAGCGACAAGCTGACGAGGTGAAGCAGGTGCGGGCGCAGATTGCCACCATGAAGGATGACGTTGCACACCGCGTGCAGACGTGCAACGCGCTGCGGCAGGAGCTGCATGAGACACAGGAGCACGTCGCCGACCTCGCCCGTGCCTACGAGGAGTTGCAGTCGGCCGCATTTACGGAGCAGCGCCACACAGTGATGCAGGGGCACGCAGAGGCTCTCCTTGAGGCGAAGGTGATGACGGTGCCGCGTGCCATGCAGGAACTCATGGAGGGTGCCATGAGGGCGTACCAGGGACTGATGCTGCGCTTCGCAGAGGTACAGAGCAACTTGCGCGCCCGCTGTGACGCGATCGAGCAGACCGCGAATGAGGCGATGCTGGAGGGGGAGCGGCAGAACCAAGAGTTCCTCGCCGCCCTTGGCGATGCCCAGGTTGAGCAGCAGCAGCTGCGTGAGATTGTTGAGCGGCTGCAGCAGGAGCTCGACATGGCAAATGCCTCCGCCAAGGATGTGGCGGCGGAACTCGCCGAGGCGAATGAGGCCCACGCGGTGTCAGCACGTGCAGCGCGCGAGGAGTTGTTCTCCACACGGCGTGAACTACAGGCGGCGCAGCTCGAACACGCCGCTGCAGTCCACAAGATTGATCTCCTGCAAGCAGAGTCCGCCAACGCGTTGCGGATTCACGGCGAAAAGATGGCGGCAGCAGCAGAGGCCGCTGCAGAGCAACAGCAGCAGATCGCACGGCTCCAGGAGACGCTGCGTGAGAAGACACAGCAGCTACGTGACATCCAGGAGGAGGCCGGGCGCCAGGTAACATCCGCAACGGAGCGAGCTGACCAGTGCGAAGCGCAGCGGGACGATGCGGCAACGCGGCTGCGGGCGGCGCAGGCGACACTTGACCGCGTGCTGCCGCGACTCACGCAGCTTGAGGCGGAGCGCGGTGAGCGTGATGCGGCGCTGCTCGATACGACACAGCAGC